TATGCATTTAAAGACACTGCTGCCACACAGACTCCATCTCAATGGCTGGTGTATCACTCAAATGTCCTGAATTAATAACGGAGATAAAGCCCACACAGATGGCATATGGCATGGTTTGAGACAGACTCATTTTGACAGGTGACAAAGATGACTACTCATCTAGTCATGTGAAATTAAGCACTTACGGGAATGGCAGGTGTGAACTGCCTCCTTTATACAGATTTGGAAGCATCCCATCACTCACAGAAAGTGCTGTACGAAAATCCCAGACAACTCTGGAAGTACAGTTAATGTTAAATCTGCAAGGGAGGTAAACTAAGGCTGAAATGCAAGCCCTTGCCCCATCCCAGTCTGGATGATCTGCATCCCTGTTTGATCTGGACAGAGCCCTAGATACTGAACAAGAAAATGAAGTTAAAAACCCAAGTAAAAGTGAAATATATTCAAGGTAAATATTAGTCTCTATGCTGCCAGCATTAACTTATTTCAACCGGCTATACATTTACCCCTATTTTTTAACTTTTTGGACTAACTCCCGTTCACTGTTTACTACTACTGTTTCAATGGATTTTTTTTTCCAACCCTCCGTCTCTACCAGTCACTACAAGGGGATGTAAAACACTCTCACTAGAAGAATAACTATGAAGTTGATAATATGATTGCAGAATAAATGCCTGGAGGTTACTTATAAAGCAGGATGTATACCTTATGTACTTTTGGTATATGTTGATACTATAGGATGATAACATTTTTGCTACCTGGCAGTCTGTGGAATTCAACAGTAGCTCTGTGGTGTCATATGGGTAAGAGTACGCAGGGTAACTACACATACATATTTATTGCAGGTTTTGCTAGGACTATAAAATGGACCCCAATATTAACCTTTTCCTTCACCTTTAATATTTTATAAAGCAAATGAGAAAAAAAAAGAAAAAAAGCACTAAACCATTTTTCCCTGACCAGAGTTCATGCCCCGTTTACAAAAATTTTCTGCCATGTACATAAAATTCCAAGTTTTCCTCAATGTCATGTGGCATCAACATATTAAGAGAGAACAGACACTGGGCAAGAACACATATCTCAAAACTTCAGATATGGAAGGTATATGCTTTATGATGTGTACCTTCAAACAGACTGCTAAGACCGTGACAGAGCACTTTGGGAAATGCAACACTATCTCCATTGGTTGGCCAGATTTTCTCTCAGAGGAAAACTGAGGATGTCTTCTGCAGCTAAACTGCAAACTCCAGTTTCTTTCTGAGTCCTAGTACCATGATCAAGAGAAACAATGTTGGGGTCTCAGGTCCTTCATTTCTTTTAAATACACCAAATAAACCTCTCTGTCATAACAACAAACCTCATGCAGGAGAAGTCATGCTAGCATTGCCTGTGTTCACATTAACATGTTTATTGAAAGCAGCAGTGAAACTATGAAGTGCAATTTCCCTCTTTCCTGGCCACAGGTTTGTTCAGTCCTGACTGCTGACTTCAGTTTGAAGTCAGCAAAGTGACTTCAGGGTGGGCAAACTAAATTCACTTCCAAGGAAATCAGAGCAGTGGCCATATACACAGTGAATGTGCTCCAAGCCCTTTGTGGGAACACAGGGATTCAAATCAATGATCTGCCTTTGAAACAGGTTTAGACCATGGGTAGTAGGAAAATTAGATTTATTTTGAAGATTCCAAAATGCAGATAATACAGATATAGTAGCTTCACCACCAAATTCTCCTATTTCCTGAGCTGCTCTTACAGTTTCATGTTACTAACGTAAGTACAAACTTCATCTGCAGCTGAAGAAAGCAACAAATAAAAAATTTAGTATTTGAGATTATACCCTGAATAACTGCGATAAAAGTTCTTTTTCTAATGACTTAGCTCAGTATGCAACGTATCAAAAAGTGTTCAATCTTTTGCATGGCGATAAAACACTGCAAGGTTCCAAACAGTTCTTTCTTTACAAATAAGAAGGCCCAATTGAATGCAGAATTTATCATTTGAAAACATATGATTGCTTCTCATCCCAAAGCTGTTCATGCTCGTGCATCTGTAACTATGTAAGGCACTATTACCCCCGTATTTACCGAATAAAATCCTAAATGTATTAAATTGTCAGACTATGCCACACAAGCATAATTATGATCTTCATGAGATTAACAGCCCCCCCTGAAATGACAAACGTTTTTAAGGACAGAACGGCATTTACCCAACAGTAGTACCTGAAGGCACTGGGTATGCTCAATATTTTAAATCATACGAAAACTTAAACTTACTCCCTACCTATAATAAACCCGAGTGAATGACCACTGGCCCAGGCCCCCAGATCTACCAAGCTTTCCAGCATGAGAGCCTCAGGCCAGTTACAAGCACCCACACCTTTCCTTTGCTCCCTCCTCTCTTCTAGTCCCACCACTCCTGACTCAAGGGAGCTTTCCTCTTCCTCCTCCTCCCCTCGTGCTGGGCTCCAGCATCAGCAGAACAGCAGAGCTGTTGGCTGGCACTTCATAGTGGATACTAAGAGACTGATTTCCCAGATACCTCATCCTGAGACAAATGGCATTTTCTGTGGCTCCATTGTTATTTCCTGGGAGCTTGTGAGTGTGGGCACTATATTAATAAGACAAAAGACTCACAGAGCCAAAGCCCAGCCACAGACCTGGGCATGCAGTACAAAGGAAATGTTGTAAACAGTTTAAACAGATCTGCGATCATAATCCCATCCTGAATCATAATCCCATGCTGAAAATGTCTGATTTTCAAAAAAGATACATCATTGGAACAATTTCTTCCTTTTCAGTGGATGTGACACATGATTAGTGTATTTCCCATGCAAAATTTTTTCGCAGAAAGTCAAACAACATCCTAGCGAGCAACATGTCTTCTAAACAAAATAAATCAATGAAATGCAGCATGTTTTTAAACAATTAAAGATATTCACAACTAATAACAGATTTGTACCTTTGTTAGGAAATAAGTACATTCGGATTTTATCTGTATCAACTGACATGAAGGTTTATCAACTCCTCATTTCAGATATTTTGTTATTTTTAAACAAGTCATAGTTCTACCCTTTTCTCAGCCCAAAAGCTAAAAGCACATTCCCCATAAAATGTTTATTTTGTCTGGTGAAAACCTATACAGGAGACTGTTAACATTCCCTTGTGATCTTTCAGATACAAGTCTGGAAAGCTTGGAAGAGAGGACTAGACAGAAATGAAGGTAAAATTTTTAGATTTAGTTTGAGAAATCATCAGAATGATTTCACCGAATTACAAGTGCAGAAATTCTTGGTCATACATGATACACAGACATGTGAGTAAATAACCTTTAGAAACCATCGTATAAACTGGAAATTGTATGAAACACTGAAGAAGCCAAGCAACAGCAGATGTTGCTATTGTACAAGAAAGCTGGTGTGCACATAAGGGATGTTCTGCACAGCAACATTCAAGTCATTTTCAATAGGCTTTCACGAATTCCTCTTGCTTTGCCATCACACTTAAAGATCCAATTTTAAAGAGATTAGAATACTTTTCCGAAATATGAGTCAGGTCAAAGAGAGTCTGACCTAGAGCACTTTTGAGAAAATTTAGATACAGGAAGATCAGAGATTATAAAACAAAACCATTTAGAGATTTGTGACATGCTCCTCACTAAGATGGTTACTGATCGAAAGAAACCAATATACTTTCCACCTTCCTTAGATTATATCAAATTAAGACTACTGCAGTGTCTCTTAGTTGGGTAGAACAGCTGCTTATTTCCAGCAGCTGATTTTTCTTCTTTTTTTTAAAGGAGAGTGCGGGGGGGGGGGGGGGGGGGGCGGGGGCAAAAAAAAAGCTTCTGAGAGTACTCCTAAGATGAGCAGCAGTGACAAAAACAGCAGTCTATGCCAAAACACTTTTAATAATGTGAGTTACAAATGAAAGCAAAGACACTAAATGTGAAAATTGCTAAAAGCTTGACTTGCTTTTGTACAAGATGCTGAAAAACATTAAAATAAAGAAGAGAAACTTGTGACAGACGTAAGAGCTTGAGGCAGAATGCAAATCTCTAAAAAACACAACAAAACCACTTCCTAAAGATTTTGGTTCAGTGTGTTGTTAAAACTCTATCATAGTGAAGGGTATGTTAAACCAAAGAATAAAATAACAGCCCAGGAAATTTCTTGCAGCTTGTATTCTTTAGCTGGTGAAGTGAAAAAAACTGCTTATTCCTATCAAGATGAGATTCCTCTAGCCCATGCACTTCAAAAGGGAAAGGTACAATTATGCCTCTCTGGTGAGAAAATACTGTCCTTGACATCTCAAGAAAACATTAGCGCAACTATTACTTGTATAATATCTTTGGGAAATCAGCACAGATGCCAGCTATTGTTCTGGATATTGCTGATGCACATGGTTACAAAATTTACGTTAAGCTATATCCTTCCCTGTTCTTTCTATAAACAGTTCCTATGAATTTCACTAAATTAATCTGGTGACAAAATCCAAACAAACCTATCTTTGAGACAAAACTCTCACTTCCTGCTCTTCATACATACAATATTCTTTCAAATCTGCACTGTTGTACACTTTCGTGCTTCTAATCTCATTGAACTACTTTGTTACTTTTTGTTTAAATCACAGATACACACTTAGAATTTCCATTTCATATCATGGAAGATCTACAGACGTTCAGAAGAGCATTTGACATAGGATAATGAATATGTCATTGAGTGAGACCAGCATATAGTGTTTTTGGAATATACTGAGGTATAGCAGGAAGACAAATTCAACCCCATTGTCTACCACCTACTAATGACAGTTCCTTTGGTTCTTGAAAACACTAGACATACACACAAACGCAACATCACTATAATAAAGTTCCACTGGTCAGAAACCCCAGTAATATTATAACTTCAAAATTATTTTAATATCTCAATAACTTGTGGTGTCAGGCAAATTAGTCTAACTCTATAAATTTACTTGAAGTCCATAAATGATTCTCTTTTCTTCCTTACCTCCAGATGCTCTAAAATATAGGGAGGGTTCGTCATGCCAAGCCTCAGCATAGCTCCCTCAGGAATAGCTTCAACCAGCTTCCACAGAAGCGTAGGGAGGTCTGTGCCAATGTCTCTGCCATAAGCCCCTGTGTCTTCACTGGTCAGCCATATCTCACAAACACCCTCTGTGAATAAAAGAAAGAGATAATTAACAAATCTGGTTTAGAGCTGTTTATTTTATCATACAGCTGCTCACTCTTTTTAATGCAGTATTTCACAAGGCTATTATGCAGCCAGACTGGGTATTCAATTGCAAGGGGGAGGGAAGGAGAAGGAAGGCTTATCCCATGGGTAGCAGTGGGTTATTAAGTTCATTTTATGAGCACAAGAGTGCTACAACAATGCTGTAAATTATCATTGCTGTAGAATGATTAACATTCATAGCAAATAACTAATTCTGTGCTGCCTCTACAGCAAGTCAGTCGAGTTTAATACTCTGCTCTATTTTTTGAGCCTAATCCACTAAACACTACAGGTGGCGTTACCCAAGCAAACAGTTTGCATTAGTGATCGTTACTAACAGTTAATTTACTGAGTGGTAAGCTTCCAATAAGCAAAATAGCTCTAAAGCACAGTGATTAACATTCCTCCTGGAATAACTATTAAGAAAACCAACTTGTATCCTTCAAATTATACAATTAGCAATGCAGTATTAAGGTTGTATTGAAAATGTTTGTGACCACTGCATGACTGTGATAGTGTGGAAAAACTGTTTCCTGGCAGTTACTGCTTCATTTTCCATCATGAGGGCCTTAGGAAGTAGTATATTTGATTTATACTGTAAATAGTGACCTTGAGCACTGATATTTGGTAATAATATCCTACTGCTCAAAGAGGGGAAAGATTGCACCACCCTTTAATAACAGTTGAAGGCAGTGAGGTTTCACACAGACACTTCTGTAAATCTGCCCAGCTTCCATCTTTTCTGCGATGCAATCCATCCTCCCCCTCCTCACTGCCCCAAAACAAGAACTAAGCCATCAAAAGCACGGTGGGTTGAAGACTGTTGTGATTTCCAGTGAGATAAGACACGATTAACTCAGCGAAGAGTTAAATTTCTAACACCAATGATGAAACAGTAAAGAAAACATCCAAACACTAGGTGTATAATTCACCAAAGCACTGTTTGGACCAGCAGAGAATTTAACACAAAGTGTACTTGTTTACATTACAAATATATAGTTAAAATGAGGAAAACAAACATGTACACAGACTCACATTACATAAAAAGTAATAAACTTAGAAAATGAGAAGTTTTACAAAAATGTATACTCAAGACTGCCTCTCAAACTCAAACTATAAGGGCAGACAGCAGGCTATGCTGAGCACTAAAGTTACTTCTGCTTGTTCGGAAAGATTTTCAAGGTAATTTATTATGTAGAACTAAGAATACTTCAAAATTAAAGGTAAAGCAAGAAACTAATGACTTCATAAGTTTTATTTCAAGAATAAGTTAGTGAGAGATGTACAATTCTATTCTTGTAAGAAGTCTGGTGGAAAGTATTCTTGAAGTACTGCTCTTCGGTTATCCACCTTGCAGTCACAACCTTGTAGTCACACTCAAACTGAGCTCCTCCGTGCCTGATCAGGTATGCAGAATCTGCTAGCAGCACACAACCAGTTTGTATTACACTGCAGTTGCTCACATTTTCGGAATTCATCTCACCACAGGCAGTATCACACCATGACACATACACTAGGTTTTGCTGCCTGCCCTACATTTTCCTGAGATAAAAAAAAAAAAGTAATGAATAATGTATGCTACATTTTAAAAATAAGAGAAATATAAAGGATTTAAATGATGTCTAAGGTCCCGTTGTTTTCTTCCTTATATCAGGTGCCAGTAGCCATTAGGACACTGCAAAACAGAGTAATTTACCTGCTGAGTTTCTTACTGGAGCAGAGTCATTTCCACTTTTAGGCTTTCAATCTAACTAGTCGCTTTTTTTGGGTGGCAGTGGTTGTTTTTTTATTGTGGCAGTTTGGTTTTTTTTTTTATTTTGGTTTTTTTGTTGCCTGTCTATCCCCATCCCCCCCCCAAAATGGCTAATGGAATACTGCCTCACAGTTACCATATGAACACTGAGGAAAGAAAAAAAAAGAAATCACTAGCTAGGAATGGAAATAACATTCCTGTGGAAAACAACAGTGGGCTTTTAAAGCTTCATAGGTGGGGACCATTAGCCCCCTGGTGGGCTGAAACTTCAAATTAAAATCACAAGAAGAGGAAGCAGCTGTAATAGTAAATCAGCAACAACAGGAATAACCGTCTCATCTGCTCTCCGATCAGGGTGTTGAACAACAAGCAATGGGAATAATTCATGCTGAGCCAAGGATGTAGTCTTAATGGCGGGGGGTGGACACCTGTATTTTAGGCAAAAGCTCATGTCCCAGTTTCAGGCTGGCAAAATGTATCTGCAAATACTGAATACTGCTGTGAGTGCTGAGTATTTATGAGTAAATCAACTTTGTACACAACTGTGCACAACAGTTGCTGTCAATTGTTCTTAGGCTGTTTATTCTAGTCATTTTCATCCTGAGTTTAGGAGACTAAACTTATACCAGGTAAGAGGAGAAAACAACAGACCTCTCTAACAGGATTAACAAAGTGAACCAACACTTCCTACTTTCACTCAACCCGCTCTCCCTCCAAACTACAGCCCTACATAGTAACTTATTTAAACCTACTGTGATTTTCTACTTTCTTTTGCAATCAATGTCACTAGATCATTCACCATTCTGTTACTGGGTAATTTTGGTGCTAATAAAGACAAGCTGATTCTGTAAATGAGAAAATTGATCCAAACTGCAGAGTTTGGATGTTCAAATTCAGAGCATTTGTTACAGTATTAAGGCCAATTATCATTATATTCAAACAATTTTAAGTCTGCCTTTGGTCACAGCTTGTAGTTTATTTCTCACTCAGCCATCACTACCCAGCACAAAAGAGTAACCTCAACTGCTGGCTTCTGATCTCTGCTCTGCTGTAACTGGAGATGACTGAGAATAAAAAATGTTGGGAAAAGAATAGGTTCCAAGTACATGAAAGAGGTTCTGAGCCTATTCCTTCTCCAATGTCTCAATATAATGAATACTTATTGAAGATTATGACATGGGTTTTAACTTCAATTTTGTGGGGTAGTCTAAATGATCCTTGTCATAAAGAAGACAAGAAATCCTACAGTTATCACTTTTACAAGATACGTTCATTTCTGCTTTAGAGACCACTTGAAATGATTCATTTCTTTAATAAAAAAATTCTAGTGCTTTTTATTTCACTTTATCTTCAAGCCACTATTGTAAACACTGTTTTCAGCAGTAGCAAACATCTTTTAAATTGAAGGGAAATCTACTCCACCTGAAAAATGAATTTACTTCAATCTACAAAAGCATCTGAAGACGAAAAATATCAGACACTAATCCTTTGAAATTCTGTTTGTTAACCTGCTGTACCTTCATACAAATGAAATTCAATCTCAAAATCCCCTCATTTTTTTTCTTTTGCTTCTCTTCTTCTCATTCTTCTCTTTCCTGTGAGAGTTTCTAATGTGAACAGGAGTGGCTTCTCCAGCAGCGCAATTCTCTGCAGGCTGCCTCGGTGGAAGGCCCCCTATTCTGACCTTCTCAGTAGCCCACAAACAGTTATCAATAACCACCTGACCTCCTTGCTAGTCCTTCTCTGGTGGTGAATTCTTAGAGCAGCCTGCAGTGCTGTAGAGACCACAGAAATACCTCTCCCACTGTACCACAGAAATCTTAAAGACCATCTAAGGGGAGGCCTGACTTAAATGTTTGTCAAAAACTACTTGCAGACTGGAAGACAACAAATCTGACCCTGTCACCCCTGATCACACCCTTAGAATTAAAAAAAAACAAAAAATCATAGCCAAAGATGGAAATGCTTGAAAAAATCAAATTCATTCTAAATGTGCTCATTGTTCAGAATTAGCTTACCCTACACAAATGTATTTTCTCTTCAATTATTTGAGTTTCTCATTATTTATTCAGCATGGATTTTGCAGGCACTGTTTACACACTTGATGCAGTGCATGTGCTTGATTATTTTGTTGAATCAGTGCCTTAACTGAGAAATTGTGCAGACGTGTACATACTGTATCACTGTATCATAGAATCATAATCAGATGTGTCAGACATAGAATCATAGAAAGGTTTGGGTTGGAAAGGACCTTAAGATCATCTAGTTCCAACCCCCCTGCCATGAGCAGGGACACCACACACTAAACTATGTCGCCCAAGGCTCTGTCCAATCTGGCCTTGAACACCGCAACCTGAATATAATCAAGTTTAAACAGAAACTGAGATTTGCAGGAATCAAACTCCTTCTATACTTTTGAAGTACTCTGCAAGCACGGATTTACCATGCAAGAGTCCAGGCCTCGTCTTAAACAGTCAGTTCAACCACCTGAATCTCCACTGAAAGATTCCATTGCAGGGATTGCCTGAAAGAGTAAATCAAACTGGGAGCAACTCACTGATGCTAATGGAGGTTTGGAAGGATTAGTTTTCCAGTTCACCAAGAAATCCCTACTTGAACTGCATATACACAGGGCTTCTAGGGGAGACACAACAGAGTTACACACAATCCTGTACAAATGCACCCTATCCCAGTCTCAGAAAGTAACTCATACCTGACTGTCACAATTAGAAACTTCAGGCAGATGACAAAAAAAGCTGACTAAAGAAAAAAGACAGGTCTAGGTGCACAGCTGGTGAAAGAAGCAAGCTGTCAGGCTATGATCTGCACTTTGGAAAGTGTGGGTCAGCTTATAATTCAGCAACACACCATACAAATGCAGCACTGCAGCCCTGCTCATGACATGCTACAAACTGGTCCCATCACAGTCTCATTTTTACTTTGCGGGACAAAGCTCTAGATAAGCATCTCAGACTGACTTTCTAGAGGATTTTTATTATGCCCAAATATATTTCCTCTTTTCAAAGGATCTACTTATTTTTTATCTTTCTGGACAGTCCTTAAGGAAGTGAAGGATGACTGACCACTCCTTTTTTCTTAATGCTTGCCAGAAATAGCTGAACAAGATCTGAGTGGTATCACAAATGTTGGCTAACCTACTGAAATGCAACAACTGGAGAAATTACTAGGTCTCCAAAACTCCTGTCAAAACAGAAAGCCTAGCAAAAGGATGACTGGCTTAACCAACCCTTCAAAATGCATGAGGAAGCAATGGCTGGTTGAGCAGACCCAGAAATCCATTCAGCACTAGTGAACTTCAAAATGAGGACAGAAAAATATTTCTCTGAATTTTCACTATTAGAGTGATAATCAATAGTTTTAAAATATCTCTTCAGTAGCATAAATTGCTTTGAAGCGTTGATTAATATTACATAAAGACCTGCTACACACAGTGACTAAATTTAAAAGCCTGAACAAATTCCATTTCATGTGGCCATCAGGAAAGCCAAAAGGTAAAGACAAATCTGTACACATGGTTAAAATTTCTTTTCATGGGATCACAGAATTACTTACGTTGCAAGGGAACTTTGGAGGTCATCTAATCCAATCTCCTGCTCAGATCAGGTCCAATTAGATGTGATTGCTCAGGCCCTTGTTCAGCTCTGTTTTGAATACTTCCAAGGACATAAATACCACAGCCACTTTGGGTAATCAGTTCCAGTATTTGACCACCCTCAGGGTAAAATATTTTTCCTCGTACATAATTGCAATTTCCTGTGTTGCGACTTGTCCTGTTACCTCTCATTCTATCTCTGTAAAACCTGTCTGCCTACAAGACAGTCTAGCTCTGCCTTCTCTATACCCTCCCATTAGGCAGTCATAGACAGCAGTAAGATTTCCTCCTAACTTTCTCTACAAAAGCTCAACAAATCCATTTCTCATATGTCACGTGCTACATGCTCATTATCAGTGGCCCTCAGCTGAACTGCTCCACTACGTCAGTAAGCCTGGTCCTGGGGTGCTCAAAATTGGAGAGAGCACTCTCTCTGTGAGGTCTCATAATTGCCAAGTACAAGTCACTAGCCATTCTCCTGAGCCTGCAGCTGCACTCTTGGTAATAGCATCTAGGATGCAGCTGATAATTGCAAAGGGGTTTCAGTGCTGACTCATGTTCATCAGCTTGTCCAGAGGAACCCCAAAGTCTGCTAAGCTCCTTTCCAACCACTCAGCTCTCTACATCCATACTGCAGCATGGTGTTATTTGGTCCCAGATTAAGGACGTTTTACTTGCCTTTGTTGAACTTCATGAATTTACTGTCAGTCAATTTCTCCAGATGATTGAGGTCCCTTGCAACATTAGCCCTACCCTCCAGCCAGTCAACTACTCCCTCAGTTTAGTATCACCTCTGAAATTGCTCACCACGTACTCTATCTCACTGTCCACATTGTTAATAAAAACATGAAGTACTGGCCCTGGTATCAATCCCCACGAAACACCATTAGTAGCCACCAACTAGAATATAATGCCATGGATCATCACCCTGTGAGCCTGACAGTCCAGCCACTTCTTTCAGCCACCTTACCATCCACTTACCCAGTCCATCTCTTGCCAATCTAAGAATATTATGTGAGACTATGTTCAATGTAAGTATATATATACTACCTATATTCGATGTAAGTATATATATACACTACTTATACTCAATGTAAGTAAATAGACACAAA